CAGGCACCCACCACAACGCCCAGCTATTTTTTTGGTTGCAGCCGCCATTGTTGTTTGGCCGGCCTGGGCTGGATTTGAACCCACCACCTTAGGTGTATGCAGCTGGCGCCTTAGCCACTTGAGCCACAGGCGCTGAGCCAACATGACCTTTTAAAATAAAGGTTCAAAGGAGGCATAAAAGAGATGAACAATTTGGTCTAGTAGCTTAGGAAACCCTTAACAGCTGGTTATCCTCAACTAAACCCCCAGATGGTCTGGGAAACCACCCTGATGTCCTGTGAGGTGGATGGAACCAGCAGATGCTCCTGCCTGACCTCTATTTGGCTCCTCTCATAGTTATAGTGAAGCTGCTACAGATTGCTCCACAACTACCAGCCAGCACCACCAACTTGTCAAAATTCATCTCCATCATTCAAAGTCTCACCATCCTCTGTAGGGGGTGAACCCAGAGGTGATCTTGGTGGGACAAGGTCAGCCGTAAGCTGACTACACTTTAGAGAACCTGATGGAAGGAAGATAAGCAAAGTTAGACTCAGGTTTTGGAGGGGCTGGTCAGATATGCGCCTCAGTTTAGGTTTGTCTGATGTCTTTCTCATGATTAGGCTGTCTATGGGGGCTTTTTGGGAAGAAGGGACCACAGATGCAAAGTGCTATTCTCATCATGTCCTCTCAGGGTACATAGCATCAACATGACTTGCCATTGTTGACGTTAACCTGGATCACCAGGCTGAGGTAGCATTTGTCAGGTTCCCTCCCCATCTCCTTTCCATTCTGTACTTTCAGAAACCGAGTCACTGAGTGTAGCACAGACTTACGGGATGAGGAATTATGCCCCACTTCCTTGAAGGTGGAATATTTGCAGGTATAGCTAGAATTCTTCTGTATGGGAGAAGTGTATTTATTCATTCATTCAATCACTTATGTATGTCCATGTGAACTCATGGATATTGATTTTATACTTTGGGTTATAATCCAGGGCTATGTATTGTTATTATCTCAAACTCTCCCAGCTTGGCCGCTGTGCATCCTTTCCACTGCCTCCTGCATCCCTTTGGCATTTAAGTCAAATGCCCCATCGGTTCGTCTTTCGAGCTCTTTCTCACTTTCCTGGTACTATACGATGTTCCTGGCTCATCTTGCACAGTGCTGGCTTGCACTGGCTCATCCCTGACCCAGTCATAGAATCAATGCTTTCTTCAAGGAGTCCCCGTTCATTTTGTTGGAAATGGTATTAAAAAGCAAGATCTGGGCACTGGGTGTAATTTATATTTTAATTTTGTAGAAATATAAAGAACTCAGGAAAACTTACATGCTTAAAATGGATTAACTTAGTGCCCATTGTATTATAGCCACAACTGTGCAAGAAATTTATCTACCCTATTAGTATATGCCTGGCCAGGCGTCCATTACTATGGAAGGACGTATAAGGGCAGGAGCGGTGGACACACATCTGTGGTGAGGGGAACGGGAGCCGGCTAGAGGGGAGGCTTGCTTTGCCCTGCAGGCTCTGGCCCTCTCTGAATGTCATCAGTGACCTACTTGAGACAGAGGTCAAAATACAGGAGCTGGAGGGGGAGCCTGGGGGCTGAATGGAGGTATCTAGCTCTCACTCTGTCTCCTTGCATTGTCCTCTGGGTTTTAGTTTTCTTTTCTTATTCCCTTCCTTAAGAGTATGTGCTGAATTCACGAGGTCGATCTGTATTTGTGCAGCCACTGTGCGGTAATGTGAAGATAATCATGAGGGCCCTGGCCTAAAAGATACCCACCCTTTTGTTCAGGTGACCAGGTGGCCTGTAGGAAACCAAGGGCTGCTGTACGACCGGAGCTGGATGGTTGTGAATCACAACGGCGCTTGCCTGACTCAGAAGCAGGAGCCGCGGCTCTGTCTGATCCAGCCTTTCATTGACCTACAGCAAAAGATCATGGTCATCAAAGCTCAAGGTGGGAAGATGGCTTCATTTTCACACAGCAGCTCTCAAAAGTGGCTTTCGTATTCATATGAAAGTAAAATAAAGGCTTTCGTCTATGAAAAAAATTAAAATATTCTAAAGTAAGTGAAATAATGTCTAGGAGAGACAACGAAGAGTTTGTCCTTTTGTTTAGGGAAATTCTGGGGAAAGGTAAAGCTTTGAGAGCCCAATCAGAGAGTAAAGAGGTATAGGGTGGTGCCTGTGGCTCAAGGAATAGGGTGGCAGTCCCATATACCGGAGGTGCAGGTTCAAACCTGGCCCTGGCCAAAAAACTACAAAAAAAAAAAAAAAACCAAAATAGAATAGGGTACTGAACTTTCTTGC